CCCCAAAACCCCAAAACCCCAAAACCCCAAAACCCCAAAACCCCAAAACCCCGAGACGAATATTTGGGACTGAATCAATATAAACTGTGATTGGTTAATCTTCAAGTATCTCCGCGCTTTCTATACAAAACGATGACTTATGCTAACTTGGAAGCCTTACCGCTGTACTCGACTTGAAGATAACTGAAAGTCTGGTTGATCTGCTCCTGCTCAGATTGCTTGATCTTCACATTCCCCAAAATCAGCTTGGCGGTTACTCTGTTTTTCAGAGCTAGCACTGAAGCCAAGTAGGGAGTCAATGGAGTAGAGGAAGCTCCGTCGTAGAAGCTCAGGTGAAGAGTCTCCAAGGAAGAAGGGATACAGGTTCTCAGGAATGAGTTCCCGCTCGCTAAAACAAAATTAGGTAAACCACAGGGATATAGTTCATAGCCAAGCTTTTGCTATTTAGGCTATTCACCAATACCAGCTCAGAACTCGAGGGGACAAGAGTAAAAATTCTCTGAAATACTAGTCAAACAATTCTGGCTATTCAGTTTAGATAAATGTTGTCTTCACTGAATCATCAGAGTGCTTACCTTGGTTAACTCTTCCGATTGACCAAAACTCAACTTTCTCCAATATTTGGGAAGGTGTTTTTGTCAGAAAGGAGAACATTTTGGCATCACTTTCTTCTCCTAATGAGCATGTGAACGTTTTGGATTCAAACATGTCATCCAAGTACTTTTTGACTAAACATGTGAGAGAGAATGAATACATTCAGGGTTTTGGAGTGTCTCAGCAGCAATGTCTTGGGCAAGCCTTAGTCTTGGCATCAAATCAGCCTAGAGGGTATAAACAGAAAGACTTACAGACTCTTTCAGTTCTTCATAGCGATCTTTTAGAGCTTCATACTGGTCCAGATGTATAGCTTTCTCATTCTGGCAGTTCTCAAGGCTGGCTTCAAGCTCCCTGTTGTTGTTTTTCAAATCAGTTACTTCAGCATTAGAGGCTTCGAGGGTTCTGGCTAACTGGTCTCTTTCAGCTGTAATGTCATTATTCAAAGCAGTGAGTTCATCAATTCTGGTTGTATAGTTATGCTGAAGCCCAATTTTCTCTCTCTGAAGTGCGTCCACTTGCTCTTTGAGAGCAACTTTTTCTTGCATTGGTAGACTCTCCATGACTACATTTTTGCACTTGAGTCTGATACTCTCTTGTCTCTCATAGTGGAGAAACTCATTGAATATCTTACTGGCCTTCCAATCTGTCTGAATAGAATCTATAAGAGTAAGCCAATCTGCAAAGATACCAATTTATAAGAACAGATAAAACTTACTAAGTTCATTAAGAATTTTGCTAAGCTTTGCCCATTGTTGATCCTTGACGAGGTTGTCAAAAGCTACTTTGCTCTGTCCATATCTGTGCTTGAACTCTTCCAGGGACTCAAGCAGCACTCTCCATTTGGCTTTGAGCTTAGGCTCTTGCATCATACATACATCTACGGATTGGATGTTGTATTCAACTAGATAAAATAAATGATACGAATTCATCAAAAATTTAGCAACTTGAAAAGGTAGTAGAATTTGAGGAAAAATGGAACGATTAAAGAAAAACCTCAAGCTTTCTAACAATAATTATAACTTGTCGAAATCGCTTTGGAGCTAGGTTTATATACAACTTAGCACTATCTAAGTCAGTTCTCCTCATGATATAAATCTGGGTGGTATCTTTAGCTTACCATACTGCAAAGCCCTTAGGACTTCTTCTGGGTCTGACAGAATGATGACCTTTTCGTCAAAGAATTTGGTTTGTCTGCATCCTCCACAGACATAATTTGAGAAGGAAGGAATGAAGTACTTGGCCTTGTCTTCACAATGAGTCAGCTGGCAAGTTAATTCACTAAACTTGTTGAACTTGTTCATGCTTTTTAATATTCTAAATATTTTAATATAAATCCTCTACATTTCGGACGTCCCACGGGGTTTTGGGGTTTTGGGGTTTTGGGGTTTTGGGG